CGCCACCACAAGTCCGGCGACCTCAACTCACGCGCAGACGCGTGACGTCTATTCGCGGTCCAGATTTCCGATCGAAACCCACCGTCCGGCTCGCCTAGGTAAAGCCTATCTTCTGGTGTTGCTCATCTTTGGCCTGGTAAGGCTTCGTTCCTTACCATCGGAAAAGAGACACGGCCAGGGAAACGAGCGCGCAGAAGACAACCATCAGGGAGGACAAGCATATCTGGGCATCTTGGTTGTGGATATCTACGCTTGAATTCCGACAACCTACAGTCTCACACTTGGATTCGAATCCGGTAACAAGTTTTGTCTCACACTTTTGTTTACTAGCGGTCAACAAGGAGAATACAGAAGTCCAATTCTATTGAGCTTTCTTTCTTTTATTCTCCTGCTTTACATAAAAAAAACCATAAAAAAAACAAAAAAAAACATGTCGTGTGCGGGTCAATTTAACAGAGTGCGAGAAGTCCGGGCACTTGATCAAAGAATGTAGGAAATTACTATTCAAGAATCAAGGAAATCAGCTTGGTCATGTTGCTTCCGCTACCAGTTGATCTGATAGATCAATTGTTGTTTCTTCAGACGAGTACGCCAAATTTATTTCCTACCAAGAATCTCCAAAGCATTCATTTGTCCCTATCTCGGTAGTCGCTAATTCAGGTATTTCAAATGCATGTCTTGTTTCCTCATCCTCGAAATGGGTCATTGACTCAAGTGTCATTGATCATATGACTGGTAATCCTAGTCTATTCTCATCATTTCATTCATATTTATCTACTTCTAGAGTCACTTTAGCTGATGGATCTACCTCACCTGTTCTTGGATCCGGTACTATTGTCCCAACTTCTACATTACCATTATCACATGTTTCGAGTCTTCCTAATTTTGCATTTAATCTGCTTTCCATCAGCAAAATCAGTTAATCAGACGTACTCTTAATTGTTCTGTAACATTTTTTCCTGGATATTGTGTGTTTCAGGATCTGTTGACAAAGCAGACTATTGGTAAAGGACATGAGTCGGCTGATCTTTATATTTTGGATACATCAATCACAAAAGGTATCTCTTGTCTTGGGGTTGGAAATCTATTAGAAGCTCATTACCGATGAGGACATCCATCTCTCCCACTAATGAAGCAAATTTATCCTCGGTTTAATAAGGTGTCATCTATACAATGTGAGTCGTGTGAATTTGCAAAACATCATCGTACTAGTTTAAGTCCTCGACTTAATAAACGAGCAAACGATCCGTTTGATCTGGTTCATACTGATGTTTGGGGGGCATGTCTTGTTCTGTCCAAATCTAGATTCAAATATTTTGTTACATTTGTTGACGAATATTCTCGTATGACATGGTTATACTTTATGAAACGTCGATCAGAGTTATTTACTCATTTTTCTGCATTTTGTGTTGAAATTAAAACTCAATTTAATGTTCCTGTTCGTGTGTTGAGAGGAGACAATGCCCAAGAATATATGTCTGCTCCATTTAAATCTTTTATGCTTCAAAATGACATTATTCATCAAACTTCATGCGTAGACACACCTCCTCAAAATGGAGTCGCTGAAAGAAAGAACCGACATCTGTTAGTAACTGCAAGGGCTCTTTTATTCCAAATGAATGTGCCTAAACAGTTTTGGGCGGATGCCTTGTCTACCGCATGTTTTTTTATAAACCGTATGCCGTCTTCTGTTTTAAACGGTAAAACTCCTTATCACTGCTTATTTCTAAATAAAGAGCTTTTTCCTATCCCACCTAAAATATTTGGTTGCATTTGTTTTGTTAGAGATGTTAATCCTCATCTTACAAAGCTAGATCCCAAATCATTAAAATGTATTTTCTTGGGTTATTCTCGAGTCCAAAAGGGGTATAGATGTTTTTGTCCGAGTACAGGTCGGTATCTTGTTTCTATTGATGCATCATTTCATGAAAATACACCTTTTTCATCATCTAAGGCAGATATTCATGAGAATAATGATGATATACTCATTTACACGATGACTATTCCCGAGTCCACACTTTTGACAAGTATTCCACAAGTTACTGTTCCTGACCCTAGGCCTCTTGTACACTTGGTATACACCCGTCGACACAAAGCACCTGATCACCCTCCATCGGCGACACCTGTGATTATTTATCCTGATACTAGTCCGACTTCGATCTCATGTCCTGAACCAGTACCTTCATCATCAGATCTTTTCTTCATTTGTGTCGTATAGTCAGTTATCCCTTGCCTCATGTTCTTTTATTGCTTCCATTGATTCTATTTCTGTTCCCAAATATGTTAAAGAGGCTTTGTCTCATCCTGAATGGCGCCATGCCACGATAGAGGAAATGAATGCTTTGGATCTTAATGGTACTTGGGATTTGGTAGACTTGGCTACAGGGAAAAAGTCTATTGGATGTAAGTGGGTCTTTGCTGTTAAGGTTAACCCAGACGGATCTGTTGCTCGATTGAAAGCCTGATTAGTTGTGAAGGGTTATGCTCAAACATATGCTCAAACATTATTCAGGAGGAAATTTATATTGAGCAACCTCCGGGGTTTGTTACTCGGGGGTATGGAAAAGTCTGTCGACTTCGCAAGTCTCTTTATGGTTTGAAACAGAGTCCCCGAGCATGGTTCAAAAAATTCAATCAATCAATTGAACGATTTGGAATGATCAAAGAAAAATCGGATCACTCTGTATTTTACAGACGAACGAAAGCAGGTATCACATTGCTTGTGATGTATGTTGATGATATCGTGATTACAGGGAGTGATAATGCAGGTATTTTGGCCCTTAAGAATTTTCTTCATAGTCAATTAAAGACGAAAGATTTGGGCTCATTGAAATACTTCTTGGGGATTGAGGTTACACGGAGTAAGAAAAGCATATTTCTGTCTCAGCGTAAATATGTGCTTGACTTGCTAACTCAAACAGAGAAATTAGGGGCAAAACCGAGCAATACTCCCATGATTCCCAATGTGCAGCTCACTCATGAAGGCGTGCCATTTGAAGATACGCAAAGATATAGAAGGTTGGTTGGAAAGCTTAATTATCGCGCAGTTACCCATCCAGATATTGCGTACTCGGTGAGTGTAGTAAGTCAATATATGTCATTTCCAAGTTGATCATTGGAATGCTGTAGAGCATATATTATGTTACTTGAAGGGGACACCAGGACGAGGTATTGTTTATCAAAATCATAATCAGCTTTACAGATGCTGATTGGGCTGCATCTAAAGATGATAGAAGATCCACATCTGGCTATTGCATCTTTGTTGGTGGTAATCTCGTCTCTTGGAAAAGTAAGAAGCAGAATGTGGTTTCTCGTTCGAGTGCTGAATCAGAATATCGGGCTATGGCACAATTGGCATGTGAGATGATCTGGATAAACCATTTATTGAGTGAGATCGGATTGAAGACACCAATGCTTGCTAAACTCTGGTGTGATAACCAAGCTGCTACACACATTGCCAACAACCCAGTGTTTCATGAGAGAACAAAACATATTGAGGTCGATTGTCATTTTGTTCGAGAAAAAATACAACAAGGATTGATCTCTACAGGATATGTGAAAACTGGAGAGCAACTTGGAAATTTGTTCACTAAAGCACTAAATGGAATTCGTGTTGGTTATTTATGTAACAAGTTGGGCACGATAAATATCTATGCTCCAACTTGAGGGGGAATGTGAAAGACATTACTCCCTCCGTCCCTTAAAACTTTGCCAACTTTCCTTTTTTGGTTGTCTCACTAACTTTGCCACTTTCTCTTTTAAGTAAAGAATTTGTGGTTCCAGTTAATTCTCTCTCCTCTGCACAAACCTCTACCACACAATTTTTACTTTATTAATCTCTGTGCCGGTCAAACATGGCAAGGTTTTAAGGGACGGGGGTAGTAGAATATACTTTATAATATGCTTTAGAATATTCTTCTATCTTTAGAATATGCTTTAGAATATTTTAGGAATATACTCTAGGATATTATTATTGTATAGAATCTTATAGGAATATTCTATCTTCGTAATGTATATAAATAGGGACTTAACACACCAATGAAATAAACAGAAAATATTTCCTCCACTTCTAAATATCATTCCAGTTTATATTACAACACGCTGAAATGATAAAAGGCGCTCTCTATTCACACCTGACAGGGGAAGACGTTTATTTAAGTCTAACAATAAAATTTCAGACATGCGGTCAAATAAGAAGCCCATATTTTTAATAAAGCCCGTCTAAATAAGGTCAAAACAATGTAAAACTATGCTAAACAATTCAATGTAAACCTGCTTTGCTTTACTCACATTAACCGCAGAAGCTGGCAGCAGTGCAGCACTAGGAGGCACTCCACAATTCCTAGTGCAAAAACTAGTCGTAGGCTTGTGGATGAGGAAAGTGATAGAGAAGAGGATGTAGGAGAATATAAATAACAAAATGGAGAAGAAACGGACTCGTCTTTTAATGATGGCTAGTCCTGCAGAAATGGGGAATTGGTCTAGAAATCTAAAATCTAATTATGTTTTATTTTTCATTTATATTGTTTAAGACTTTAAGTTATGAAATCTGAAATTTGTTGTTTTGCTTTTGTGAATCATGACTTTATTTGTGAGAAACATGACTTTTTAATGCAGTTGCTCAATATGATGTTATATACATCATGTTTGATAATTGCAAAATAGTATTTGTGATATTTTCTAAGCAAAGTGCTTGACATGAGTCAAGCGAGCGCTTTTTGCACCTTGCACCCTCAGGCACTGGAAATACCGTATTGCCTTGAATACGCCTCGCGACTTTGACTACCTTGGCACATACTCTTCAGATTGGACACCATCAGACTGCAATTTCTGAACTTTTGCTTATGTAAGAGACTGCAGTTTTCTCTTTGAATGAGGGGCAATATTAGACTGCAATTTCTGAACACTTGTTTAGTTGTTTTATTTACCAACATATAAGGATGCATTTTTTTGCATCACAAGAATGCAGTGCTCAGATTGTACTTCTTTAAAAAATAAGTTTAGGGAAGCCTTCTTTATATATTACCTGACTATATATAGAATCCAGATAAGATTTAGCCATCTGAGAAACTGAATAATAGCTGAAATCCCAGTAATGTAGAACTCTTGCTGGTAAGACAGCGGTCTCATTTCTGTGGCATGAAGAGCAGTACAGCTGGCCACTGTACTCACACAGACGAGGCTGGCCCCACCCTAGCGTCTGTACAAATTCCTCTACCCTACTCTTTCCATCACCAAAGTTTATGTAGCAGCCCGCACAACTACGATGCTGTTCATCTAGCAACTGTTTCACAGATTTAAATGGTCTGTTTTGAACAATCAGTGATATAGTTTTCCCAAAAGTAATGTTCGAATCAGATTTGAGCGGATTAGGATTGTCATGCGACGGGGACAAGAAACCAAACAGAGGATTGAGGGAAGCAGAAGGAAACCTTGAGTGAAGAGTCGATTGTAAACACTCTTGTATAAGAACACTTCTCTCAGCAATGACATCTGGGGAAGCACTACAAAAAAGCTTTTTTGATTCTCGTTCAATGGAGGACCAGGGAGGAGGAAGAACCCACCCTTGATCTGCAAATGTCTTTTTCAGACGGTGGTAAAGGGTAGAAAAATCACGAAACCGTCTCTCAACATCCCAATTTTCCTCTCCACTCCAAACCCTTATTTTGTAAAGGGTGTGTTCTTTTATTCCAAGAATACGCTCACTGAGAGAAACATTCCCCTTTCTCTGCCTTGCCCCGATGACTTCTATTCCCCTAATCCTCCAAGGTTGCTGATTAACAGGAGAAGCATCATCCCTACTACAAGTTGAAGCAGTAGTACCACCATCTCTTGAAAGGAGAGGTATATAAGACTGATATATCTTGTTTCCTAGAGCAAATCCAGGGGGTTCACCAGAATCAAGTAATATTTCTTCCATATCATGAACAATCTCACTGTACAATCCATTTAGGTCAAGGTTCACTGTCTGTGAATGGAATATGGATATAAAGTAAGAGTCATTACAGAAGATAGAAGCTTATAAGATATTTAAGACAGGAAATAAAAGAAAAATAAGATCCCCCTAAGACATGTTAAGTTTTGAAAAGACAGACTATTCCTGTGCGTACTTCATAACATATAGGAAACTTCGCATTGATCATCTACCACACAATATGGTGTTTAGTATAAACCAGCCAATATGGTTGAACCAGGACCACCACGAATAGTGATACTATTCTAAATTAAGAATTTTCAACAGATAATTCCTGAGTAGGTGAATACAACAGCCAGCTTCAACCATCATTCTCTACGAAATGAGAAAAAAGCCACAGGGACAACCACCCTAAGGGCCTCGAGTACTTGAAACAAAATATCTCAGGAGAACAACAAAAGACACGAAAGTTGAATGTAGTATATTACCCATGACAAATACATGATTGATGTTACTCTAGAGCTTAAATTAAGTTAAATTAGAACTCATAAGCTAGCTCAATTCAAGTATGACAGCACAACTAAAAGTATACAATATCCAACAAGCTCATTCAAGAGTCCTCATTAGATGCATAACCTACCTAAATTTATATGTGCAAGCGATCCACATTCATTCGATCATGTAGTTGTTAATACAAAATTATTTTGATGTAAGTGTCGCTGATCGATCAAAGGTATCTAGAGTATAAGTGAACTATATTGTATGGTTATTGAACTCTGCTGAACATTTATTTTAAAATGATCTCGTAAATGGTGCTACTATAATACGAGAAAAGGATAACAAAAATGTTATGAAGATGTTCTCTTCACAAAATTGGAAGTAACTAATGCAAAACGATCTTCAAGGATGTTTTTACTTGGACTGAAATTTTATGGTCTAGTCAATTTGAACTGGTCTGCTAGATGCTTGGCCTTTTGGTATTTTACAACTGTCAAAATCTAATCTAATCTATTTAAGTCTAGTCTGGTATGTTCTGGTCTAGGACTGAAATCAGTGTGAGTAAAAACATTCTAAATATGGTTCGTGTAGAAGAGGAGAATTTGTTATTATCTTTTAATTTGAATCTAGTAACAATCGTCAAGTTACTGGGGATGTAAATAGACTGTGATTTAAGAAATCTAACCTTTGCTTCTTCAGAACGCTCTCCTGAAACAGAAACCAAATGCGGTTCCACATACAACGTTTTTATTTTTGAATCCATGCTAGAAGAATTGGTCCGAATTTCTTCCTCGTTTATATCGCATTGATGACTCTGGTCCGAAATCCCTTCACTGTTTTTACGCAATACATTCTGAACAGAAGACTCCTTAAGGAACTTGGAAAATGCATCAACAACATAACGCTGATTGTTTTGAGTATGCAACACTTTTGGATGCTCTCCCTTAAAATGTTTTAAAAGATCTGAAAACCCCAAAGGACTAGTATGCTTGGGTTTATTGGTTACAAGCACGCTGTTTGCCTCTTCTTGTTGCACTTTAGAAGCAGTGGGCGAACAACCAGTTTTAACTTCAAAGTTCTGATTGCTATCAGCCTGAAAATCATCTTGAACCAGTAAACCAACACTTTTTGTCTCAGTTTCTTGGACGAAATCATCCCAATCATCAGAGCCAAAAGCTATAGAAGAATTCATACAAGACTTCTTGTCATGATCACCATGCTTTTGGCTCAAAGGTGGTAAATTACTACTATAATATAACTCAATCTTCTCCTCTGTGTCTGTCTCCCCTCCAAATATTGAATGATCATCTTCTGAATGGCTGTTTATAGATGACCCTGAATTTTTAACTTCTTTTACAGCAACAACCATGTTCATGACCTCTTCAGAACCATGGCTGTGAGACTTTTCTTCTTCCACATTTCTCATCACAGGTAAATCCTCAAAATTTACCCCAGATCCCCCGCATATGTCAAGACGTTCTATTAAACTATCATTGTGCATAAAAAATAAATCTACATTTTCATATAAATCTGTTTTCCCGCTAACCCCCACCAATTCCTTTTCTGCAGCAATCTTTTGATAACAAAATTCATTTTCATGCAAATAATGACCGGGATAGCGAGATTCGGATAACTTCCTGTAACTTCCAAAATTCCAACCATTAAGATGTTCATCTCCTAGTCTGAAGCTATGTGGGAACTCAAGAAATGCTGTTGTCACTAGTGAACTATACACAGTAGGAGTCCCTGTGGCTGAATTGGCACTGCAGTACCTCTCATACTCTGATTCACACGACGAGTAATCTGTCAATGTATCCCCACCATCTGATTTTCGAGACAGTGAAGAATCATGGTCAGGTGGATCACAATTAGATTCAACAGCAACTGATAAATTCTCTGATGTCCCCTCTATCATCTGATTATAGCAAAAATTTGACTGAATATGCAGGGTGAAACTCAACAAAATCCGAATGATGTAATAAAACTGAGACCTTCATATAGAGGAAGTTAGAAGTTAGTTGGAACAAACTTGCTTCAATTGAATGTGGTTTCACATCATGAAATCAGAATTGATATGCCAGAAACAACTCCAATTCGTCAATGATAAAATCAGCTCAGACATAAAATAGATATAAGCTCCAATTCATACAAATTTACAAACAAATAAGAATTTACTGTTCTTAAATGACTTTTTACAAAGATCCAACAGATCAAATACAAATTTAATCTGTTCATCCTAAGAAAAATATTTTAAATTCAAGTTCCCTGACAAAAATCGACCGGAGGTTGTGATTAGCATGGGATGAAGATAGAAAGAACTGACCTCTGAGGATCGACTCATGTGCACAGAAATGGAAAGGGAGGACTGGGGATGGGGTAACTACTGTAAATTGTGTTTTAGCTGATTTAGCCATTTAGGTCCCTCTTTTATTTGACGACATGTTCACGACTCACGAGTATTTTAGCAGCAAAAACCGTGTTGTGCACGACCTTGTATAAGGTTTTTTTTGGGAGAGCATCCCATTTTTACTTTACCTGACATCTGTTATCAAAATTCAGATTATTTTTAAAATTATTTGAAAAATATATGTAATATGTTCAATCGAGACCGAGAAAAAAGCGAATTATTTGAAAATGATGGTTGGGAGGCATATATGGATTTTGAGATTATTTTAAAATTAATTATGTAACAATATTAAAAAGGTAAGAGTGCTAGAAAATATTGATTTTTAGAGATTATGAATGGTGATGCTCTAATGCTACAATGTGCACGGTGCACATGTGGCATTAGAGATGATCACATAAATATTACCAAATAAATTATCTATCTCCTTATTTGAATAATTGTGTACAATTTTGGTACGTTTTTCTGGACAATGTCAAGAAGATCGTCTAGATGTTGACATTGTTGTTGACATTGCAGAGAAAATCTTAACAACATTATACAAAATCATTCAAATAAGGAAAAAGATAATTTATTTGTTAATATTTATGCGGCTACCACATACCATGCTATATCACACGTCTACCACATACCATGCTATATCAATTTTAAATTTAGAAATTACTCTAAATATGAGCAAAAACGTTTTGAAATTCCAAGATAGGAGTATCATGTCTTTTATTATCTGAGTAGGAGTAATCTGCCAAGTTTGGGGAAAAAATGTCATGTTTTAAAACCTAGTAATTCAAACTTGGCAGAAATTTACTCATATTTAAGAAATAAAAACATGATACTCCTATTTTGGAATTTCAAAACTTTTTTACTTCTATTTAGGGAATTCTATCTTTTAAATTCTCTCTCCATGGAACAACTTTTTGCCATGTGGCAAATAATTCTTTTTTATATAAAATATAATAACTCTTTCAATTGTACTGTGATGTTTATAGAAATTATATTAAATTAAATAACTTTTTATGATCTACCATATGATATCCATATTACATATGTAAATTTTAAAAAACATTATTCTAATTAGATATGTTTAGGTTTGGTCCGCTGAACGGCCGATAAATGTGTATTTAGTGTTATTTAACTTTAGTCTAGTCTGATCTGACATGATTGACTTACATCTATTTGAATCGTAATCAGTTCAACTAAAAACATCTTAAATATCATTCACATGTGCGCTCAGAGATATAACATATATGACCTTAATTCGAATCAAGATGGTGTTTGTCGAGTTTTAAAAAGCGGGACCCTCCACCTTTGAAATTAGTCAAATAAATAAAATATGAAAACAACTAGTTTACTAGTATTAAAAAAATTTACTTATTCAAATATATAATCTCATCGAGATTTGCGCAAAGTTAAAAACAAAACATTTATGTTTTTACAATATACTCCCTTCGTAACATAAAAATGTTCCCATTTTAAAAGTAGGTAGCTTAAGAATAGTGAAAGATGATATAAATTATTGTGATAACTCCAAAAAATAGTTGTAATAGTGTATTATTTTCCAAATTATTGAGGGTATGATGGAAAGATTTTGAAATAGGAAGATTTTTTTCGTTATGGACGAAAAAGGAAATTTGGAAGATTTTGTTGCTACGGAGGGAGTACAAGCTATTAATATATCAACCAATAAAATTCTTACAAATCTTTTTATAGAATTACCATATTCTCTAAATTGTTTAATTATAATACCAATAAGAATGTTTTTAATTGGATTAAATTTTTTATATAGTCCAATCTCATATGATTTGATCTGATTTGGTATGTTAAATTTTGTCTAGTCTAGTTGAACTAGTCGGTTATGTTAAATGTATGTTTTATATGTGTTATATACTCTGTAGAACATAATGAAACATCGAAAACATTCTGATGAATGAAAAGTATATATGACACCCAAATATTTTTGTAAATTGTATGCGACAAGTTTAATGAAACACATCAAAAATAAAAAATGAGGTACCAATAGTGGGGCAGATGAAATGATTAATATGAAATTCATCGCCTCTTGTACAAGAAGATTGTAAAAAACTTATAAAAGAATTAAATTGTGTTACAAATATTATATAATTGATGGTAGTTAGAATTTGTAATCCTAATTACATTAAGATTTTGAGTGTATTTTTTAGGAATAAAGTTAGACAAAATTTAAAGAAATATGAAAACTTATTTTATTTAAATTAAAAAGAAATACACTTTGGAGGTCCGGTCTTTAGTGTGCTACGTAAGTTTATGAGCTACGTACAATAATTTAAAAGGCATTCCCTCTGTCATCCTATAATTGTCCTCGAACTTACATAAAAAGTGAAAATAAACCCTTTTACATGAGACTTTGTCCAGCCGTCGTCATTTGTGAGCATCTTATTCATTAAGTCTAGTTTACTCATACCAAATTTCAGCTACATATTCAATCGGAAAGGCACTCAAATAAATTTTTGAAGATAACTGTGCAGTTAAACAGCGCAGAAAATTATTAGACTGCCTTCTCAGTTGAAGTTTTAGCTTAAATTTGGTATGAGTAAACTAGACTTAATGAAGAAGATGCTCAAAAAATTTCATCAAAAAATTACACCAGAAACCGCCCCAAATGGTGACGGCCGGATAGAGCCTCTTATAAACGGGCTTATTTGCACTTTTTTTGTAAGTTCGGAGGCTTGTTTGATAGTTCTCCCTTGTCCCATTTTTTCATTTTTGAATGTCGCCTTATTATTGTTCCATACCATATTTGGTAACATTTGTGTGGCTCTGATTCATTCTTACTTTATTCTCACTTTATCAACTCATTATCAATCACATAATTCTACTTTTCTTAAAAACCACACAACTGTCTTTTGTCCCAATATTAAGGGTGGAGGTAGTTATACATTTGGTTCGCACTTGAGGACAAAGTTGTCCGATATTGAAAAGAAAGAGGTGCGCATAGCAAGCTTGGGGGTGCACGAAGGAGGCCCGTTTTTTTTTCAAAGCTTTCTAACCTATTACTACCTCCATCCCACTATGTTTGGGACAAAAGGGGTGTGACACAACTTTTAAGAAAACGTGAAATTGTATGGTTGGTATTGAATTGATAAAGTGTGAATAAAGTAAGAATAAATTGTAACCACCCAAATATTACCACATATAGTATGGGACAAACATAATGAGACGGACGAAAAAGGTAAAACGGGACAAAGTTAAGGGGACGGAGGGAGTATTATAGTATTTGTTCTATGTAGGCCAATATTATTGAATTGGGATGAGATTCGAACATGTGACCTCCTTCTTTGAAGTGTTGCATTGATGTCATCAGACCAAAAGATATTTGGTTATGTTCCATATGTTACACAGAGTATTTCAAAAAGGGGGGGAAAGTACAAATATATCCAAGAAGTTTATGTAGAAGTCCGTATATACTTTTGAAGTTTATGTAGAAGTGTATAACGGCTTTTGTATGCCATCAATTTCTTTTCCGGGGAGTGTTATTTTGCTTCTGGCATTGCGTCCAAAAGGTTGAATCCCCAAGGCCCCCCCCCACCCCGACCCGACAGGATGGTGGGGGAGTAAATCACGGTGACTCAGTCGACAAAGCGGCAGTAGACCTTTACCCGTGCGCACCAGAGGGCCAACCTTATTTCAGGTTCTGAAAACCCCCTTTTGGCCGCTGCAGGATTCGAACCTTGGTCTACGTCCAATTTTTCCCACCGCTCGACCAACTGAGCTACCCGTGCGGGTTCTGCTTCTGACATTGCAACTCAAGTGTAGGGGGGAGAAAAAGGCAAGAAGTTTGAAGTCTTGAAGCAAATGTTCAACAAAAAGGGCGAAATAGGTGAAAAGGTTGAACCCCGTCCGCTTTTCATATAAGTCGCCCGGTTTACAGGTTTGCACTCCAGGTATTCTTCTCGCGCACAAAGCCGCCTGACTTTCGTGAAAGGCGCCCGGCGTTGGGCGCCGTAGTTTTATTCGATTTAATTAAATCGAAACCCGCCCGGGTTTCGTGTAAGCCGCCTGGCTTACGGGTGTGAGGATCTCACTGCCAAGCGAAAGCCGCCCGGCTTTTGCAAACACCTCCCGGCTTACGGGTTGCAGGGTCTTAAAACCTCTTCCTTTTAAAACAAAACACACGCACACCACTTCCAAACCCGCCCGGCGAACGAAGAGAAGCAAACGGCCAGCACCCTAGACCTTCTTCTCACTCATTTCCTCCTCTACTTCAAGCTCAAATTAGGTATTTCTCAATCACTTTCACTTCTTTAATTCTTATTTCACTCTTTTTACATCATTTAATCGTTAATTTTGATTGTTCTTCCCAATTTCGAAATTTAGGGTTTATGCAAATTGATTGCTTTTAGGCCAAATTCATTGCATGATATCTTGTTCTTGTTGCCTATATTACTTGTATGAACCATTGTAACCTCTTTCCAAATAGTTATTTTCAAAAAAAAATTGAAATTTTTGCTATTTGGTTGAAAATGGGGGCTAGGGTTCGAATTCTTTGTTCAAATTTTGGGGAATTTGAATCAAAATCATGTGATTACTTGTTGATAAATGAGGTTGTGAATATATTGTCCCTTGTTGTCCTGATTTGAGATTATAGTCCTTTTTTAGGGGGTTCCATGTCAATTTTTTTCATTTTTTTTGAAATTGACTATAGTCTTTTGAGTTTGTAAGAACAATGGCTTCAAAGGGAAAATCGGTGAGAAATGAGGTTGGCCCAAGCAACCCAAAGAGGGATAGGAACAACAAGGCTCCCGCTCCCTCCACCACCATCTTGCCGCCCAACCGCTTTGTTAGCACAAGGAGCTATGAGTGTTACCTTGAGTTCCGGGACAACGATTTTGACCAAGAGTTCAGGTTGACCGAGGCGTTTGCCGCGATTCGGTGGGCCCCCATACTCCAACTTCGCGGGCCCTACTATCCCGAACTCGTCAAGGAGTTCTAAATGGAAGGAGGTGCGAAGAAGAGCATCACTAGCCGAGTCAAAGGGGTGCACATTGAGATCACAAATGAGCTCCTCTTTGATCTATCCGACATCACTAGACTTGGCCGCCCATT